TCGCCGGCGCCACGATCCTTGTTTAACCTGTAGATGTATCCGTCAAAGCAGACTGTAGGCTTGTTTTCGTTGAGTAACCGAATGTGAGAACGACGGAATTAGTATTCATAATGAAGGGATAGTTTGAGTGCCACTTTGACCATTCAGCGGATAGTTATATATCAATTCGCAATAATCGCTGAGTCGATTATCGAAACGGTGTCCTTTTTTCGAGAAAAGAATAGCTACTTTTATCCTATTATCGATGCACTTTGATTATAGACAAACTCTTAATTAATTATTCATCTTTATCAAATTGGATCATGAGTTCGTTTTATTTTTGTTAACATGTTGATAAGCCAAATATCGCTTGGGATCGATCCAGTGTCGACAAAAAGGTCGTCGGCAAACTGATTGTCGACAAAAATGTCTTTCGACGTTAAGTGATGTCGACGAAAAATCTGTCGATGAAAACTTGTCGACTAAGTGTCCGTCGACAAACTATGTTGTCGACTAATGATATACAATCCGTCTGAGTGACTGTACAAAGATCATTTATTGATCGCCATGGTGCAAATAGTGTTAATATAGTGCGACAATAGCGTTCACGAGTATCCTCTCGCTCTCGACGTGGTATTTGAGGGCCGAGAAGAACTGGTACAACTGGATTGTTATGTCTGATGAAAATATGTGATGCTGATTGAGGATGTGTGCTTTCAAAGCTATGACGTTCATTCATTCTTGTACCCTCCGTGCTTAAATGTTCACCATGAGAACTCTGGGCATTCTTTAGTGCACGTTGATCGGATTTATCAATGACTTTTTTGTGAAATTAGCTGACAAAATCATATAAACGGACTGTCGATAAATCTTTAGATCGACATTGATAGTCAAGACGCGTGTTTACCATCACATATGTGTTTTCATTTTTGTTTGCTATCTTTTCCAAAACAAATTGTTCATCATTCATTTTTGTCCCATCTTCTTCAGGATCCTCATAGAAATCACGTAGCATACCTAAAGATTCAATACTTTTCCTATATGCATAAGTACGTTTTCATTTATTACCTTCTGTAGTTCGCTCATCAGGCTCTTTTGTATTCAATCTTGCTTTTATTAATTCTGTTTGCAGATAATTTTCAATAGAGAACAAGAAGAGATTCTTGAACGTATGTGTCGTGTAATGGTCTCCAAAATCCATCAAATATGATGGTACTTGAACACCTGAAACTTCTTGGCGTGAAGCAATCATGTTGTAGCACCGCAAAACAAGTTTCCGCGATTTTTCAACCGCACTTTCAGTTCGATCTGGATTTCGGTATTGCTCAATTGACTTAATTCCTTGTTGTGCAAATACAAACATATCGTAGAAAGCGAGACTCGATTTTGTAATATAATCAGTTATATAATAAACAAGAGCTTTGACGTCGCTGCTGTAACGACAAACTGGTTGAGTAGCTGATCGCTTCTCACGGTATCGATGTTTATTGGCTACTCTACATGACCAGAATGTCCCTCTTTCACAATAAGACACGCGCTTATATAGACAAGAGGAAAGAGAGATATGACCCGGAGATAGTATGATATAGAGGTGAGAGAATAAAGAACAGAAAGAGATGAACGATATCATTATCGTTACACATATAAAGAAAAAAGTAAGAAGAATCTCGACTTACTGTCTACCTCTATCATTAAAGTAAAACAAATAATTCTTCTTGATTTCAGATGACTTCGAACAACAGGTTGAAAAGGCATGTGGTACAAAGAGAGTTAGTGGTCACTTTAAATACATCTCTTTTTTTTAATACAGCGAGTCAATCCATTGCCGACTAGCGGTAACAGCGACGCGCCCATAAAAAAAATAACGAAGAATACGACAGTGGTAACCAACTACAGAACATCAATACGACGCCGCCTTTAAGCGATNTGATGGTTATTACCTAAACTGTTCATCAGAGGGTAATAGCCTGATAATATCTTCTTTTCAACGCTGGTGGTGATCAACGTGGTGCTCGTCGAAAATTAAACAATAGACTTTACTGTACATTCGTTTTCTTTCTTGTTAATATTTTTTGTTGTTTTTTTGTTTCTCACCCAACACCGGGGACGGTAAGGGTATTTAAATAAATAAATAAATAAATTTTGACGTCTGCCTGGACTTTCAAAACAATTATTTATGTGTTCTTTTTGTGTACTCAAAAAGTGAGCGCATTCCTTAAACCGATTACAATGTCCGCCTAGTCGTTTATTCCCTCGACTGAAAGGAGGGTCATATGAAAAAAAAGTTTGTGTGCTTGTCTTTATGTATGTGTCAGGGTCAAAGGTCAAAAAAACATTATTTTCGAACATGTTCAGAATTCAATAAAATATTGTTTGGAATTGGTTTAAAGGTTGACCGAGCATAGCTTTTATATACCAAGGGAAGAACCTTAGATCTAAGAGAGAAATTGGCCCAACAGTCAATTGACTGATATGATAAGATATTATGGATGTTCATATAGACCAATTAGATATTCTCTGGTGTGGAGGGAGGATCATATGACGACAAATACTGTATATGGGGGTGTGTTTGTGTCAGAGTCAAAGGTCAACATTGACAGAGACTTCACGAATATGATTCGAAGATCGATGAAACCAATCGGTAACTATGATGGATTGTGAAATTGACCAATCAGGTATCGCGCTCTCTAAAGCTGACAAATTGAATATCTAGGATGAATGAATTAAGAAATCAGTCATCCAATACCTTAGATTACTTAGTTGCATGAGTCTCCTTCCATAAACTCCAGTAAATGAACGGCAATTTCCAGCCGAAAGCCTTCTTTATCTATGATTTTGTTGAAGTGGCTAAATTGTTTGTGAAGAGTTGGAGAGAAAAACGCGTGCTCAATTAGTAGACTATATATACAATGCGCAATATCGAGCAGTCGGGAGTGGCGGATCGAAGGGACGCCGACGACCGACTGCGAGGTGAATGGTTTGATGGATCTTTTGTAAATTCTTTATGGAGAGAGTGGAGTGAAAAGAAAATCAGTGGAGAGTTAAGCCACTCGGCCTCGGCCAGCATTATCTAATTCTCTAAATGTTTGCAGTTATGGGCAAAGGTAGTTTATATTTATCATCAAACTTGTTTTCGTATTGTGGAATTCGCATTGTTGACTGAAAACTAACTTTATTTTGTATGCGAATGTCATCTTCAATTTTTCGAAATAAAAAAGGTTTCAAGAAAATATTTCACTGTATGACGTTTATTTTTTAATAAATCAGTCGAGAGTAAAGCGAGTCTACCTCGACGAGTGTTATTTATCCGATAGTTCTCTAGGAAAACATGAGATTAAGGGGGGGGGGAGGTCGCGACTCGTCAATTTCCCGTTTTACGGGCTCATCAGATAGAGTATAGTTTTTTACATATTCTCTGAAATTTTTACGGCAGTTGGTTCAACTTTGACTGAGTTATGAAGTATCACAAGATCTAGGTTTTGGTCCAAATGTGGCGTAGACCTTCACCCCATGGTTCTCAAATAGTGACTACAAAACAAAAGAAAAGTATCACTAGTTTTATACCGAAAGATAGAAAAATTTTTTTCTATCGATTCCCTATAGGCAAATAGTTTTTTAGAGGGTTTTTCATGTGTTATGGGCCGATTAGAACCTATATTTTGATCATTTTCTGTCAACGGCTTGTCCGGTTAACGGTCAACCAGCACTATTAAGGTCACAATTATAAAATTCTCTAAGACGAACCGAGCGATTGGCTTCATTCGAAGTTTTTAGATAGGTTTTCGGATATTCTGTATTGAACTATTTCATTAGTTTTCGAAAAATATGAAAAGAAATGATAGCTGCCAGCAAACTTTAACTATTTTCGAGCAAAAACCGCTTCAAAATGCACAATATTGTTTCATCAATATTTCGATCGATCTTGAAGATGCAAAGGGTTGGTTAAGAAATGGTTCACGAGGAACATCATTTAAGTGTATCAGTCAGGTTTATTCATTCGCATGGTATTTGATAGAGTACACTGAAAAATAAATCCGGAAATCTCAGATTCTATCCGAGAGTCATGTGTACTGCAAAAAAGTGTATGAGAAAACAATAAAAATATCATACGAAAATATTATTACTTTTTCAATAACTTACGAATGACTTGTCCAAACAGCCGAATCATCAAACTCAAACGAGATCTCAATGGGACTGCAATATGCAAAATATTTAATCATAAGCAGCCCGTTCATTCAAAATGTCTCGCGCGAACGGGTGCCAACACGGCCTGACACACTACTTGACGCTATCAGTAAAATCACTTTCTTGAGTACACTAATAGCCTATGAGGATCCAAGAGTACCTCTGTAGTATAGCATATAAAAACTTAAGAATACTCTCATAATATAGCAAATGAGAAACCAAAGATACCCCAATAGTATGAGACTTGAGAACGTACCGACACCTCCACCAAAGTGAATTCTGTTCTTTATCATGTAAATAATTTCATGTAAAATTATTTTTCTAAAAGAATCCCTGCACCAGAGATCGGCACGGTTCGATTTGTGAACCCAACCGATCCGATCTGAAACGAACTCAACCGATACTTACGAAACCGAGATCGATTTCGGTTCGGTTCAGTTTTCAACTGCAGCGGTTCAACGAAAGATATCATTAATTTCTCTCATTTTCGGTTCGGATCGATTTTATACATTTCGGTTTCGGTTCGGTTGAATTTTATCTCAAATCGATTCAACTTAGACAACTATGTAATTCGACCAATATGCATTTAGAACCAGATTATCTGATATTTTATTGCCAGATCTGGCGACTGAAAAAAATGAAGGTTCGCGATAAGAATCAGAAGACTATATGTTAGAAGATATGGTTGTCAACAAAGTTTTGGCGTTTTTTTCAAAAATTTTATTTTTGTTTTTTGACTTCAAAAGTACAACTAGTTTTCAGATATATATTTACCATTGCTATCTACCACTTGTCGCCAACGTTCTGGTAGAGAGATGATCCCGCGTTCGTAGAAGTCTTGGGATTTTTCATCAAAGAATTTGATAAGTTCTGTTTTGACGTCGCTCTCATCCTTGAACTTTTTATCACGTAGATCATTCGAAAGAGAACGAAACAAATGGTAGTCTGTTGGAGCCAAGTCTGGAGAATAAGGCGGATGAGGAACAGTGACCCAACCAAGCTTCAATAATTTTTCACGGGTCGACTTTGCAATATGTGGTCTTGCGTTATCATGTAAAAAATAAACTCGATCCTGTCTTCCCTTGAGTTTTTCAGCTACCCGATCCAATTGTTGACAGGATAGATCAGCAGTGATGGTGTAACCATTTGGTAGAAGTTCCCAATGAATAACTCCTTTAATACTCCACCAGACACTCAGCATCAACTTCTTAGGATGTGGATCAGTCTTCGGTGTTGCTACGCCTGTTTGACCAGTGCTCAACCGCTGACGTCTACGCGTGTAATTAACATACAACACCCACTTCTCATCGCCAGTAATTAGATTGGATAACCATTGATAGTTGCGATGAGATGTGATTAAATCCATACAAGTATCAATTTTCTGTTGCAGTTGATGTGATGATAATTCATGAGATATCCATACTCCATATTTCCAGGTCTTGCCTAATTCTTTCAGATGTTTTTCCACCGTAGTATGAGAACACTCAAGCTGCTCTGCTAAACCCCGTAAAGTCGATCGAGGATCTTCTTCGATAAGCTGCTTTAAAAGATCCATATCCAGTTCCATCAGTCTACCGGATCGAGGTAAATCGTCGAGTTCTAAATCCCCATTCTTGAGATGATTGAACCAACGTTGCGCGGTACGAGTGGAGACTAGACTCTGGTCCATTGTACTGCATATGTTGTTGGCTGCTTCCGTTGCTTTGTGGCCCAAACGAAATTCGTGAAGTAAAAGCACTCGAATCTCTTTATGAGAAAGATTGATTTTTGGTCCGACATCAACATCTATATCAATGATTTTTTTGTCATCCGAAAGACATTCATGTCCTATATATATACCCTTAGTATGGAAACTTCTAGAACTTTCTAGGTTGTTCTCCAAGATTTTAGAAAAAAAACGCCAGAACTTTGTCATATAAAACAAAGCATGTGTTTATATAAGACTGATGTGCAAACAGAGAATAACGTTAGCATTTATCTAAGGATTACGCCAACTAAAAGTCGCAACACCAAATTTGACAAGTTTTACTTAGAAATCAGAAAATCGTTTTCAGAAACTCAATAGGTTATACCACGCGTCTTTATGTAAATGGATCTTGATGTAAAGCGTACGAAAAAAGAGCAACATCTTCCTTCATTCTTTGAAAATAAACCTTCTAATTCTTTAAAGGCGTTACG